CATGCACAAACATTTAAGGATGCATGCACCAGCAGGAAAAAAAATACTGAAGGGAGGTGTGGAGGGAGGAGGCATCAGCCAGAGACCTCGTCAGGGAATCTTATTAACCACACAGTGCACAGCTGTTAATTACATAAAAATTAAATTGGCGATAACTCAAGCAGAAACCTCCAATTTGACACCTCTCTCATCCCTTGCTACAGAGACAGCATAATCTTAATTAGCAGCAGAATCCAGTCCTTTGCCCTCCTGTTCCCTAGCCCATTGCTTTGGTTCCTGGGTCAGCTCTCACAGCCCTGATGCAGAGTGCAATCCCAACTGGCAACCCCAGAAGGTGGAAGGAGGGAGCCTGGGCAGAGGAGGACGTGAGGTCTACACTGTTCTTCACGGTGGTCAGGGCTGAGTTCTGACATGGAGGTGTTCTGCATTGTGGCCTGCCCACTGGAGAGCCCGTGGCTCCTGTAATGTCCTCTGCACCATTTGCCAGGGAGGGAAGCCCCTTCCCTGTTGCTTGCCGCTGGCTGCCAAGGGTGAGCCTGTGTTACACATTCAATGCAGAGCCCACCTGGGAGTTGGAAAACTGTTCTGCAGGTTCCAGAGCTGCAGTCAGTGGGGCTCAGCTGGCAAGCCCTGCCCCTCCCACCCACACAGACACAGCTAATGCAATGCACTGTTCTGCCCCCTGCCACTGCACCACCGCTTCTCAGAGGAAAGACCGCAAAGGATGCCCAGAGCCCCTTCCCTCCCAGGATGCATGCACTCCTTCTCCATTTGAAGATGCTCCTTCCCTCCCATGTGTCTCCATGTGCTACTTTAGAGACCTAAGTCACAGTGCTATATGATGAGCTCCTCTTCTGAGTGTACAAAATAATTTGATTATGGATAATGGAACTGCCTTGAATAATTAAGCAGCTTCTGGAACCAAGGCAAAGTCCAGAAGCCGCCTTTCCTTTATACTTAGTACTGGGAAGCTAAATGCAGATGTGGTCAGGCCCTGTCCTGCCCAGGACTCAGTATGCCTTCTGACTGGGCTCTGGGGTGATGCCTGGATCCAGGCTCACAGCAAGTCCGTCGGAAAGCCCCGTCCTCCATGCCTCTGGGCTTGCTCCCTCCCTCCTCTTCCCTAAGTAAGCTCATTCTCCGTGGTGCTGGGCTTGGACCCCATGCCTACCCCCACTTTCTTCAGCAAGTTCACCTGTGCTGAGGTTTCTCCCACCCCCTGGGAAGTAATGGGTTCCTGTGTGTTCATCTCCACGAACATCTAGAAACTGTCCATAGAAAACCCAATACAATTCCAATAAAGTGGAAAGCATTTCTCAGTTCTTAATAGAACAAGGAAATTTAAGAGTAATTCAGAATTCAGCATATGAATATTTCTAAATTAGTTATCATTTAGGTGTGTATCCTGTGTACAAAAATATATATTCATTACACATCAAGGAAAAATTTACAGATATAGAGTACGTGCTGTATAAGTGGGCTCCCAACATTTTCTTGATGCCCAGTATATGGATATCTATTGATTTATCTATAAATGATTAATCGTAATATGGCACAGATGTGAAACGTAGCATACTCACTGTCCTGTGACGACAGCACTGGTTATCTGAGTTTTGACTATTCCATCTGTGCACTGTATACCTGCTGAATGTGCGTGCCTTCCCCAAATATACACAGACCTCTTTTTTGCAGCTGAGATAAGTTTAACTTTCTACTTGAATCTATCAAGCAACTTCTAGGAAAGAAAAACCACAGGCTTTTGATACCATATCTTAAAGGGAGCAGTAGGATCTGAGATTTACCAGTATGTTTGAAAAGCTAAGTCCTGCATTACTCATAGGGAGAATGCAAGGATGGTTCAATGTTAGGGAATCTATGAAATTCCTATATTAAAAGATAAAAGGAGGAAACGACACATCCATCACAGAGCTTTTTACAGCCAGCTGAAAGCTGTCCATGAACCAAGCACACATCAAAGTGGATGGAGTGGATGAATTAGTGATAGACAGCCCTCAGAATGGCCTGTTATGCAGCCATCTGAAACAGTTAGATAGACCTGTGTGTCCTGCATGGGAAGAATTTCAACATTAATTATTAAATGAAAATAGAAAGCAGAAAGGCAGGAGTATATTAATATCTAAATACATGAGACATAAATGTGAATAAAGTATTTTATGTATTTATATAAATATGATGCATAATTTATGTATAAATTATGTAGGTATAATTCACAAACAATTGATACATAACACAAGATGTAATTTACATCTATAATTTATAAGCATGCATGTGTGCTTGTCCCTTGTGTATTTCAGGCCTCAACAGCCTGAGTGTTCAAAGGAAGCTGCATGTGGTATTATACCGATTGTACTCCACTCCAGCCCCCATGCTAGGATCTGCCTTCCTTCGTGAGAGACCCCAGGCTCCCTCAGAGCGCTGTGGCTCACACTCCCAGGGGTCACTGCCACTGGGCAGGGCAACACTCTCTCAAGGAGGATGGGAGTGCTCTCCCCTCATTCTGAAGTCAGTCTAGAATGGTCTCTGCACCGTCTTCAAGGCTTCATTGCTGAAGAACATCCATCCAGAGTGATATATCTTCTAACTGCTTCATCTCATTCCTGCTAGGCTTCAAACCCTAGGTCCTAGCCCTTCTGAGTCCAGAGTAAGAAGGGGTTGGTATGGGGGTCTCAGATATGTATTCCGGGTCTGGTGCCATGTGAGTAATGATGCCGCTGTCTTTCTGGTCCTGCTTACAATGGGCCCCACATGACTGATGGCACAGTGCTTGCCCACTAAGAGCAGAGAAGCCCCATTCACTTTTCCTTCTGGCCTCCAAATGTATCCCACAATGCATAACCGCCCCTAGGAATATCACCCTGCCTGAAAGGGCTGCTCCTGAGCCCCCACCCCCAGACCTGAGCTCGCTACGTCATCACCAGATGGGAGACAGCAGAGAACTCCTGTATAGGATTGCCCAAAGAGAATCCAAAACCTCACTCCTGTAAGGGAAGCAGGCGCAGTTTCATCTGTGACCAATTTCAGACACCGTTTACATAGGTAATACATTTCCCGGCCTCTTCTTGGTTCTAAAGCAGTTACTTCACAGAGTGCTGCCTTGAGGCCCAAATGAGTTCTTGTCCCTAGATCCCAGATGGGAGAGTGCTCCACAGTTGTCTTCTACCCCCACGTTACCCCATTTCCAGCATAGGGGCTGCAGCTGTGAGTCTCCTTGAGGCCCCCGGCACCACCGTCTAAAAATAGTTTCTGCCTGGGCATTTCCATTCAGAATCCACCAGAAACTGCATGTCCCCCTCAGCCCAAAGATCCCAGAGCAGTCGATGGACCCTGTGCCTTCACTGCCCTAACCTGAATGTGAAGGATAGAAGGAAGCTGGCGAGGGCAGTGGGAGGGGCCAGCTCTGGCAGCAGCGCAAAGGGTGGGGGACACCTGCCCCTGCTGCCAGTAAGCACCACTTAGGCTGGAGCTCATTAGCATGCACCCACTGGAGCTCAGACCCATCATCTGGCTGCTGTCCTCCCTAAGGCGGAACCATCACACTCTGAATGTGGCTGCTTTTCATCTGAATTTACTCCCTGACAATACAAGATTACAGGAGGCTTCCCTGAACAACAGCAGAGACTGACAAACAACCATCCCCGCCCCTACCGCATGGGCAGCTGCCACACTCCGCTGGATCTCCTGGGCGGAGGCCAGCTCCGTCAACCATCTCCCACGGACACGACCTTATGCATGGTAATGCCTGGCAGAGACTGCTGCGTGCTATTCAGGTTATAGCGAGATTCCTGTTCCCTCTTCTCAGGAAGGATGGCCCCTTCTCTGTCTCTGGGAAAGAGCTGGGGGACGTTACCTGGCAGGGTACTGAGCAAGGCTGTTGTGGTCACCTGCAAGGTCCTTTGGGAGGCGACGCTGTTCTGCATCCGCCAATGTGCGCGTCTTGGTCAGCAGTGGTCTCTAGCATGAGATCGAACTTGTGTTTTCCACCTGGGACCTCGGACAGCTCACAGCCCCAGACCTCAGCTCCATCCTTGCCTTCAGTCTGGCCTCAGTGCCAAGAAGAAGCCATGTGTCTTCTGCTCCATGGTAGTTCTCACGGCTGCGGGGTTGGGAAGTGTGTGGAGCAAACGCCTTCCCCAAAATGTAGGACAAGTTTGGATTAACAGAAACCCACTGAGTTTGGAGAAAAATCATCATAAAATCTGTTCCCTAATGTAAGCCATTGGTCAGGATGCCCCAGGGCATTTCTCTTGTCCCTTTGTCCTTTGATTTTGCCGACCTGACAGAACATGAACAGACCATCACCACTGCCCAGTCCTATAGCCACCCTCCATTGTTCCTGCCATTCACTTGGGGTGCAACTTGATTTGTATGTGGTAGTCAAGTCCTGCCCACTGACCTCACTCTGCAAGAGCCTTTGTACATCCCTCACGGGCCTCACCCCACAAGTGCCCCTGCCCCTGGACCTGTCACAACCTCACTTGCCGCCATCTTCTCCTCCATCAGGCAGGGACCTATTCTCCTGCCCTATGTTGAGGGGATCTGAGTCTCCGAGTTCAATCAAGTTCAGGAAACCAGGAGATGGACATGTGCTGAGTCCAAGAGGGGAATTTGTCCCCCAAGTCAGTACTGGCTGGGCAGCCCAACCTCCTACCCTAGCCTTGGTAGAATGTGTTCACTCAGCAAATAGGCAGTCAGGCCCTCAAAGAAGACCCCACTGTCAAGGGTACTTGTTGGGGAAGTCCTGTTATTTGCCTGTTATTTGTCAATAAAGTACTGTTGAGCCTATAGGAATCTAGATAAGTGGGGCTAGGAGTCCAGGAGGATTCTGGGAAGGAGAAACACAAGAGAGTTCGAGATGTAACGCCATTGGGGTAGGAAGCCCGGAAACTTCTCCGGTAAGAGACATACTTAGATTAACAATTATGGGGTAACTACTTAAGTCAGAGCTAGCCAGTAAGAAATAAGCAAAGCCAACAGCTTCATAATTAATACAGCGTCTTGTGTGTTTATTTGGGGACTACAAAGCGGCAGAGCCCAGGCAACTGGCGGGAGATAAACCAAAGCGGCTAGCAAAGAAAAACTTCTCTTAACAGGTACTCAGTTCCTGGTGATTGACAGAGTAGATTCATGGTCTCCAGAATGGAGGAGGGACCTTCTCGGCAAAGGAGACCATTAGAAAAATCTCAGACTTATAGCAAGAGCCTGGTGTTCATCCGGGTGTGGCTCTGAGGAATGTTTACTTCCCTGATCATGTGCTGGTGTCCCACATAAGAACTTAAATTTCATGACAGAGGAGACCCCTGTCTCCTGCCATACCTCAGGAATCTCCGGCCATAGCCAGTGACTTGCCCACACCCTTGTCTTGACCTTGACACAGCCTTTCCACCCCTTGTGTCAAATCGTCATTCTGCATTTTCTCCCACACCCCCCAGGTCTAGGAGCCTCAGAAGCACCTAACTAAGAGTTCATAAGGAGTGGGAGAAGCAGACAGCCTAGAACCAAGGCTCAGTGACCCTCAAGTTGAGCCCATTTCTCCTCCTAGGCTCATAAGTGGTTCTACTACTCTAGAGAGGGATGAGGGCCCTTGGGGAAGACAGGCATAGGATAGTCAAGTCTCCCGGGCAGGTTACAACCTCATCCTCACTCCCTCTCAAAGACTCCAGGCCTCAGATGGCAAATGGCTATTGCAATCATATCACACAAGGACTCTGAGATGGTCAAGGCCACCAACCAACCCCCCAGGAAGCAGGGGCGTCTACTAACACAGCAGACATCTGGGCTTTGGACAGCATGGCCCCTGTCCTGCTGGATGGCCTTTCTCACTGACCACTTCTCATTTTCTTTGCTAAGGTAGGCTCCAGCCAGGCCTCAAAAGAGGAGCTAAGGACAGTGCCTGCTGCTTCCCCCAGCCTGAGAAGGGGCTAGTTCCAGCTCCAGGGCCAGTTATCTGCCCAGCCGCTTACGATGGGCTCAGGACTGACTCGTAGCAGAGTGTACACCTGCCTCTGCCTGAAGCGTCCCTGACAGGCTGGCACCTGTCACTGTCCTGGCCTAACCACACAGCACTAAGTAAGGAACAGCTGTGCCTGTCTGCACCCCAGTCTCCAGCACAACTGTGATTGTTTTCACGGAAGCCTTGCTGATGACTAAGCAGAAAGAGATGGGAAGGGATGGGACACGGCTTGTCTTTGTGCTCTGTGTGACACAGCTAGCTCCTCTGCCACTCCAGGCAGAGTCCCTCCACAAAGCCCAACACCATATAGTTCTACCAGAGTGACATGCCCTCAGCAGGGACTTGGAGGACCTCCCAGGGCTGACTTGAATCTCCAGCTGTTCTAGAACAAGATGGGTGACTAGTGGTTGGATGGGAAACATGAGGGGCTACCTGTTGGCTGAGTCACAGTAGAGAGAGTTTTTCCCACCATAGCCAGCACAACCCTTTCCCAGAATGCTACCACCAGAGGTCCATGGGCCACTGCCTCCTGTGATCTGAAATCATCAAGACAGCCAGACCCACTCACACCCACGCAGTCCAGGACACTTCGGGACTACAGGGGCATTTGAGAACCAATAGCAGGGACACTGTACCTCCTTCCTCGGAGCCTGAAATCCTAATGAGCTGGCGCTTTACCGAGAGCTCACAGTCCTGTCCTAAATAGTCAGTGTCATTGAGGGCCGGGTCTGTCTTGATTAATCGGCTAAATACTCCCCGTCCCTTACACCTGTAGCCCATATAGTCACACAGCTATGAGCCAAACCCCTGGTCAGTCCTGGACTTGCCTGACCAAGGCTCTGATCTGTTCCGTTCCTCCCATGAATTATTCCAGCACTGTTTGTCCAGCAGATTTCTCTGTCAAATTTCCTTCTTGACTGTGTCAAAAACCAAGTGCCCACAAAATGTAGACACAATTTCTGGGTTTTCCATCCTGCCCAGTGATGTGTTTCATTCTTGTGCTAATATTACTCTAAGCTGGCTAGTTTTATGTCAGTTTGACACAAGCTAGTCATTTGGAATGAGGAAATCTCAATTGAGAAAATGATCTAATGCCCCAACCAGACTGGCTGGTGGGCAAGCCTGTGGGGGGGCATTTTCTTGATTGATGACTGATGCGAGGAGGCCCAGCCCATTATGGGGTGTATAAGAAAGCAAACTGAGCAATCTAAGAGGAGTTGGCCATTTTGCTTCAGTTCCTGTCCTGCCTGAGTTCCTGCTCTGACTTCCCTCAGTGGTGAGCTGTTAATACTAGAAGTATAAGATGAATAAACCCTTTCTTCCCCAAGTTGCTTTTGGTCATGGTATTTTGTCTCAGCAATAGAAACACTGACTATGACACTCTCACAATGACTCCCTCTTTATAGCAATTGTCTGTGTGTTGGGGGTGGGGGGTATTTGCAAAGCACACTGGGAATTGAATGCATGGCTTCACTCAGGCTAATCAGGTCCTGGAGTATTGAGCTCCACACCTGACCCTATAGCAATAAGCCTTACATCACTATAGGGGCTCCTAAGTTTCTTGGTATAGTCTAGGTTTGTCTATCCTGCCTGTGATCACATGTGCCCTAGGACAGCTACACTGACCTAAAAACATGAGACTTTTTCTTCTTTAAGAATATTGTCTTTCTATTTAGTGTGTGTGGAATGCTTGTTTTCCCATATGGGCATACACATGGCAGTAAGCCCCAGGTACCTGCATCTCTGTGCCTCCCCGGGGCTGAGATTGCAGATGAGCATCACTATGTTTGGCTTTCATGCAGACGCTGAGGGTTCAGGCTCCAGGCCTCATGCATGCATGGGATACTTTGCCAGCATCACCCCAGCCCCTCCAATGTTCTCTCAACAGCTACTGGGTCACTTGGTTCCTTGCTTTATTCTGCAGTTGAGTTGATTGATTTCTTCTGTTAAACTCTGATCACTGTATTAGAAACATAAATGAAACACATGTAAGGGCTGTGTATTCACATATGTATATATAGTTTGTAAATCTTACATTTAAAACAGAGCTACCAAGCCAGGCAGTGGAGGTGCCTGCCTTTAATCCCAGCACTCAGGAGGCAGAGGCAGGCGGATCTCTGTGAGTTTGAGGTCAGCCTGGTCTACAAAGTGAGTTCCAGGACAGCCAGGACTGTTACACGGAGAAACCCTGTCTTGAAAAATAAAAAAATAGTTATCAAACTAGAGGGCATGAATTAAGATGGAAATTTTCTAAAGATGTACTAGAAAACCTACTCCTAACGGACAGAATTTCCTAAGTGTCTGAATTGGTATTCTTCTCAAAAGCCAAAGTGTATTTGCCATCTGTGATAAGAAAGGGCAAGTTAGAGACAGCTCGTCTTTGAGGTAGTGCTGATAGGAGCGAGTCCTGTTTCAAAGCAAATTATATGCTTAATGTGTACATTGTAAGTACTCATGTGTTTTATATACGTAAATATAAATATACAAGATATAGCTAGGTATATTTGCTATGATTTGCTGGATATTTTTAATTCTCTTCATGAGGAAACTGAGTATGTGAAATGACCTTTAAGTTGCTTGTGGGTTTTCATATTAGGTTCATGACGCCTCCCAGAATCAGTGGGCGAGCTCCCTCCCACCCACTTTCAAGTGTTCTTTCACCTTCTGGCACTATGCTAATCCGCTGATGGAGGCACGTGGCCCTGAAGGCGTCCTTGTGGGGCGGGGTTTTGAGACACGCCTTTGCCCTCTCCTTTAGGTGGACACCTGGTCACAGCTTGTTTCTGCCTGTGTGTCTGGGCATGATGCACTTTAAGTAGTTCGTCTCTTCTGTCTGACTGCTGAATTGCTGGCATTGAGCTGTTGGGGACATTAATTTCCTCAGCATCCAAAGTGACCCCGCCTTCCTGTGACAGGTGATTCATGTTCTTTTATATGGGACTGGTTATTTTCTTGGCCTGTCTTGTGGGGGAGTTTATTAATTTTGTTCTGAGAGAACCTCCAGTGGTTCCATTAATCTCTAATATTTATGTTCTGTTTTACTGATTTCTGATCTTTCCTATTTACTCTGTTTGCGTTAGGTTGACTTACTGCTATTTTTCTAGTTTCTCGGGGTAGAAGCTGAGATCAGTGATTTGATTTATTTGTTTTTTTGTAATAGAGATATTTATACTATAAATTGTGTTTTCTCATCATTTCAAGATATTTTCTAGTGTTCCTCTTGCATTTTTTGATCCATGAGGTATTAATTAGTTTCCAAATTAGCCACCAAGAGGCTTGCCTACCTTACGAAGGGCCCTGGTAGGAAAGCAGGAACCAGAGAAGGCAGCAGAACATTAGCACACGGATGAAGCTGGCTGGTACAGGCTTGGAATGTTCCTCCCCTGTGCCGTGTGTGACAGCGCTTGTGTGGGAAAGCCTGGAATTTACAAACGAGAGAAGCAGACGCTACAGAAATGACCTAGAAAGGGTTGTGAGCAGAAAGGGTTGTGAGCCTCGGCTTCTGCGCTTTGATCTGATTCCTTCCCAGATCTCTATCTAGCACACCTACTCCCAAGCGGTCTACAGCAGTACTCTCGCTGGTGGGGCCCCCATATTAACGGTTGTGAAAGTCAACAAAGTAACAAAAAATGGAAACTCTCCGGGGTCTGTTTCATTTTTCTCTTCCTCCTCTTTTGCCCAGCGTGCTCAACCTTTTTCTAGCTGGTCTTTTGCTCCATGAAGCCTCATAAGACTTGGCCAGATTTATATTCCCTTCTCCGTAGTCCAAAAACTCCCTGGGCTGCTGTCAACCGTCAGCCTTGCTACACACACCTTGCTGCCCTCTGTCTGTCTGTCTATCTGCTTTGGGACACCGTGGGAGCTCAGTGAGTGGATGGGTGAATCTGGACTCAAATGTGCTTTCCTACTGTGGGAAGACCTCCTAAGCCAGGAGCCGTGGAGGAGGAAGGGGATTCTGGGGAGGCCATCTGGGTGGCGAGTTACTTCATTCATCGCTGTGACAACATTCCTAATATGATGAACTTTATATAGAGAAAGGTTTCTATCAGCATGTAGCTGGAGAGAGAGATTATTTTTGCCTCTTCCATGGAAAGCTGGGCATATCACCACTGCCCTTCCAAGGGAAGGGGTGGGAAGCAGGGATTCATTCTTTCTCAGCAAAGTAAGTGCAGATGTAATAAGCTGTCAGCCGGCTCCTCCGCACCCCTGCTGTCTCCAGGGCCCAGCAGCTTATGGCCGGCTGCTCATGCCTCCCACCCCATTCCATGTTCATAAAAGATGCACAGCCTTTTCCCTGAAGAAGTTCCGCCTTTTGCTGCAGTGAGATCACGGGGAATGTGTGGGTCAGCCATTTTCAAATGTTCTATGTCTCCCGTGTCTGGGGATTATTGCCTTGAGGAGTCAGGAGACGTTTCTCTCACCCTTAGCAATTCCTACCTGCGACTTACAAAAATAAATGTGTTGAGTGTGGGTGCTGGGCAGAGAGGAAGCACTTTTACTCCTAACAATGTACAGCCGGACCTTCAGCCATCGCCCAGAAATCTTCATGAATAAACGGCAGGCTGGTACTGCTGCCTGTCTGACAAGCCCACATCTGATTCTGCTTAAGCCTTGTATATGACCAGTTGAGATTACAAAAAGCTATAAACCTGGCTACATAGCTGGCTGGGTAGGCCCTGGGAAGTGTGGGCTTGGGCCCACGGTGTCCTAGGAGAGCTCTGCTCCTCACTGCTTGGAAACTAGGCCAGAGTTGAACTGGGGTAACTGGAATCAGAGCCCTAAAAGTGACTCTTGCAATGCACTCGGTTCTGGCCTGCCTAAACCTTGTTTATGTGCTCGTTTCTGTCTGTCAGATGACAGAGTACTTCCTATGTGCGTTCTAGGTGTCTGGGGCCTGAGGTGGTCACTCGGGGTCAGCCCTGTTTTTTAGTCATAGCATTCTGGTCGCCATGGAAACATCTCTTCTCTTTAGTAGAGGTTTCCCAGGTAGAGACAGAAGGATCAGAAGTTCATTGTCATCCTCTACTACACAGCAAGTTCAACACTAGCCTGGGCTACTTGGGACCATGTCTCAAGAAGAAGAGTAGGAGAAGGGAAACATTAGACACTTGTTACCCCTGACTTATTATATGTCTATGTAGCTTTTTAAGGTCTTAGAAATCACCCTCAGGCCCCCAGAGAGATTTTTCACCTTCCAGACACCATCACCCCCTCAAGTGTGAAGCTGAAATGACCTTGACCCGACCTCCCATGTTAGCCAACTGCTCTCTTGAAGGTTGGCCCATGTTTCTTGCCCTGCCCAGGGCACAGAGTACCATTTCCAGACTCCCATGCCAGAAACCACGCTGGGAATATCTCTTGGTCACTGCCTGTGCTGGCTAGTTTTACTTCAATTTGATTATAAGCCAGAGTCATTTTAGAAGAGAGAACCTCAATTAAGAAAATACCCCTACCAGTTTGTCATGTGGGCAAGCTTGTGGCAGTCTTCCTGATTGATGATTGATGTGGGATGGTCCAGATCATTGTGAGCCGTGTCATCCCTGGGCAGTGGTCCTGGGTACTATAAGAACGCAGGCTGAGTAAGTCATCAGGAACAAGCCGGTAAATAGTGCTCCTCCATACCCTCTGCACCAGCTCCTGCCTTGAGTCTCTGACTTTCCTGGCCAAAGGACTATAAGCATAAGCTGAAATAAACTCCACACTCCCAGTGGACTATAAGCATAAGCCGAAATAAACTCCACACTCCCAAGTTGCTTTTGCCCAGGGTGTTTATCACATCGATGGAAAGCTAAGACACTATCTACCTTGCCTTTGTATCTTTTCTTATCACTGTGATAAAACTCTGACAAAAGGAATTAAAAGGAAAAAGAGACGGGATGGTGATGGCGCCCGCCTTTAATCCCAGCACTCATAAGGCAGAAGCAGGCTGATCTCTGTGAGTTCAAGGCCAGCCTAGTCTAAGAGCTAGTTCCAAGTCAGCTAAGGTTACACAGAGAAACCTTCTCTCAAAAAACAAACAAAACGGGATGGGAGGGAATTTGTTCTGATTCACAATCCAGGTTACAGTCCATCATGACAGGGGAATCATGGTGGCAGGGGCCAAAGTACCAGTCACATCACACCCACCGTCAGGGAGAGAGGATGATGTCTGTACGCTGATGCTCAGCTCCATCCTCCACTTCCACTGCCCCGTGTCTGCTGCCCAAAGAATGGTGTTACCAATGGCTGGGGCAGGGTGGACTTCTCAGCTCAGTCGATGCAATCGAGATAATCCCACAGGCACGCCCAGAGGCCTGTCTCCCAAGTGATTGCAGATTCTGCCAAGCTGACCGTGAGCACTAACCATCGCATGCCTCCTGCAACATGGGCCCAGTGTTGCCTTCCAGCAACTTTGTCTCCTGCAGCACTCACGGGACAACTATGGCAGGCCCCAGATGGGGTCCACATGTGTGGGAGATGGAGACATTCCTGTGACGCACACCAAGCTGGCCCCTCATATGCCAAGGTTTTGGATGGGAAGCCAGAGATGAATTCTGAGGTGGTGTGGCTTTCTTTCTCACAGATCACCCGGGTCCTGCCTAGGTGACTGATGGCCCTGAGGGGTGATATGAGGACTGAGGGAAAGCAGTCCCCGAGGGCATGTTCCACAAGGCTGCAGGGCACACACAGATACAGCTCAGAGGTGAGCGGAATGTTTCCTTTGGTTCATGGACCCTAGTTACTTCAGCTTTGTGAAACACAGAGGAAAAACAGACAATCTGTAATTACTGGAGTTTACAGTCATGGTTGGTGGCCATTATACCTGGGTAAGTTTCAGCTCCTCTGTTTATTAGAGAACAAATATCGGTGACTTTTATAATGAAAATGAATTAGAGAGCATTGGCGTGTGGGTTTTATTCCTGTGACTTCCTGCCTCTGCTTGGTAGAAGAGTTGTGGTGTCCCGGCCCTGCATGAAGCCCCAGCATCCCATCATACCCTGCTTTCACAAGTGTCAGGGCCCCGAGAGCCTGCCCTGACTGAACCATCTCGTCCTTTGGAGCAGCAGCAACAGCTCTGCTCATGCCATCCCATTTTTAACCCACACTTTGTAACCCAGTCACCCCACAGGGCCCAGGACGGCCAAGAAGCTGAGCATCTCTCCCTCAGCCTTCCGGAAATAAGAGTCAGCCCTTCTGACTCGGGGACCTATACCCAAGCCCAGAGCGGATCCTTCTGGAATCTCAGTTGTACTTGGAAAATCATGCTTCACTCAGAGTCTTTCCTAGTCATGGCACCTAAGGAGGGGAGGGGTCCCTCAGCTTCTCATCTGGTGCTCACTGACCCATCCTTGCTTTTCCTGTCTCCACCCTCTGGAAGACAGGGGCAGGAGAGGGGCATGCTAGGCATCACTGTCTATGGTAGGGTATCGGGGTTCAGAAAGTCAGGGTGCATATGAACCTCATATGTGGGGGGGGGTGAGTTCTTACAAAGGAATTCAGTCTCACAGTAACCTGAGCTTGTGCCAGGAAGACCTCACCCTCAGCTTCCCTGTCCAGGCCCTCCGCCACCAGACACACCCCTCCATCCTAGCTGACCGGAGCCTGCCTCACTGCGGCTCCCCCATGCCTCCATGTCCAGCAGCACTCTGAAAGGAGCTGCGGCTCACTGCAGCCTCAGAATGAAGCCATCAGTGAGCCATCCCACCCCACACCCCCGTCACTGTGCCAGGAGCCCTGGGAGCTTCCCTCCCTGGAAATGAGCACATTCACAATTTAAGAGCCAACACCCCACTGTCAGGAATCTCAGTGCCCAGCTGGGACCTGCGGCTTACGGTGCCCGATGACACAGCTGCCCTGGAGTGACATTGGTTCCCATGGTGCTGCATCTGCCTCTCACCCACTGCTATGCCAGGGTATGGGCTGGCCCCCAAGTCCCTGCCAGCCCATCCCCACCCAGAGGCTCCCACTTCCTAGAGAGATTACAGGCTTCACCAGCAGGCCTGATTTATGTGGGGCTGGGGATCAAACTCAGCAAGCTACATCCCTGGAGCAGTTATTCATTTTTATATGAACATATAAAAAACTCCCAGCTTAGAAAAAAATTGAGATTAAAATGTAGGCAACAATGTCTCACCCCAGACTCAACACATGCTGGCATTTAGCTGTTTTAACCACAGACATGTCAGCAAGAAATGACACCATAAAGCCAACTGAAGACAGCGTCCTCCTGCAAGATCCACCCTGCCCTGCTCTATGCTGTGTGCAGCTCCTGCTGGATTGGACTGCAGGCACCGGCATGAACTTTGCTAATTAGTGACTGCAAAAATTGACTAGCGGGTTTTACCACCACCTCTGAGCTGCCCTGTGCATCCCTATCTCTAGCTGATTGGATGTCTGCCTTGAGAAACCAGACTGCAGGCCTGAACTGAGAGCAGATTATGTCACACAAGGCCCTAAGCAAATAAACAAAAGCAAAAGCTCTCACCAGAGGTTCGCTCTCACGTTCCAGCTCCCCAGGCTTCCAACAGTGTACACGTGTGTACACACCTATGTGCACGTGTGTGCATGCATGTGTGTTTAGGGGGAATCTTATAAATGTGAATTTAGAAAGTAAGCATTTACCAAAAGTAGAAAGCACAGCATGCCAAAGAATCCAAACCCCCAAAATTGTTTGAATGAATATCTTTTAAAGGAAGAACTTTGAATCTCAAGAACCATATTGAGAGTGTGTTAATAGATCTGAAAAATGACTAAGCAAACATCTAAAAATTACTGTGTAGAGTAGGTGTTTGGAAGTGAAACTTAACAGAAGACCCAAAGAGCAAATTAATGGAGCTGGGGAGATGGCTCAGTTGGTAAGATGCTTGGTGTGCAAGCATGAGGACCTGAGTTTGAATCCCCAGAACCCACATAAAAAGCTGCGCATGGCAGCACATACTTGTAACTCCAGCACCAGGGGCTGGTCCAGAGAAAAGAAGCCGTCTTGTCTGCTGAACCAGGAAGGTTCAAGTTGATTGAGAGACACTGTCTCGAAGAATAAGGTGGAAAGTGATTAGAGGAACACACACACACACACACACACACACACACACACACACACACGATTCAGATAGTGAGTGAATGGGAAATAAATTTTATTGGCTAAGTTGTGTCCCTCCACAATTTACATTTTCAAGTCTGAACCCCCAAGTGTTAATTTTGTGTCCTGTTGCTAGGAGAAAATGCTCTGGGGAAATACAACTTGGGGGAAAGGTTTATTCATCTCACAGTTCCACGTCGCTGCCCATCAGAAGGGAGGCCAAGGCTGTGTGAACCTGAAGCAGCTGTTCACATCCAGTCAAGAGCAGAGAATGAATGTCCATGCAGTGCTCATCTCACTTTCTCCACCATCCAGTCTAAGCTTAAACTTAGGGAATGGTGTCACCTATGGTGAACTGAATCTTCCCATGACAACTAGCATGATTGTAATCAAGACAATTCTCCACATACATGACCACAGGCCAACCTGATCTAGGTGTTCCTACATACATGACCACAGGCCAACCTGATCTAGGTGTTCCTACATACATGACCACAGGCCAACCTGATCTAGGTGTTCCTACATACATGACCACAGGCCAACCTGATCTAGGTGTTCCTACATATATGACCACAGGCCAACCTGATCTAGGTGTTCCTACATATATGACCACAGGCCAACCTGATCTAGGTATTCCTACATATATGACCACAGGCCAACCTGATCTAGGTATTCCTACATACATGACCACAGGCCAACCTGATCTAGGTGTTCCTACATACATGACCACAGGCCAACCTTATCTAGGTGTTCCTTCTTTGAGACTCTCTTCCCTGGTGAGTCTAGAGTATGCCATCTTAGACAACTAAAACTAACCCCACTCCAATACCTCAGGATGGGACCATATCTGGAGACAGGGTCATTAACAAGATAATTAATTTAATGTAGACTCATTAAAATGAGCCCTAGTTCAAGGACTGGTCTTAAAATACAAAAAGACAAAGAGGGACAATTACATGAAGACAAGCTGGAGATGGTCATCTGCACATGAAGGAGACCTAGTGAGTGCATGTACTATAAGTGTGTGGACCTAGTGTGTGCATGTCCTATAAGTGTGTGGACCTAGTGAGTGCATGTACTGTAAGTGTGTGGACCTAGTGAGTGCATGTACTGTAAGTGTGTGGACCTAGTGTGTGCATGTACTATAAGTGTGTGGACCTAGTGAATGCATGTACTATAAGTGTGTGGACCTAGTGTGTGCATGTACTATAAGTGTGTGAACCTAGTGAGCGCATGTACTATAAGTGTGTGGACCTAGTGTGTGCATGTATTATAAGTGTGTGGACCTAGTGTGTGCATGTACTATAAGTGTATGGACCTAGTGAGTGTATGTACTATAAGTGTGTGGACCTAGTGAGTGTATGTACTATAAGTGTGTGGACCTAGTGAATGCATGTACTATAAGTGTGTGAACCTAGTGAGCGCATGTACTGTAAGTGTGTGGACCTAGTGTGTGCATGTACTATAAGTGTGTGGACCTAGTGAATGCATGTACTATAAGT